CTTTTTAATCCATCTTTAAAATTCATAGCATCCAAATAGAAGGATTTAGCAACCATTTGTTGAGTGTCTCCCAAGTTGGGTGCAGCCACAGTGCTGGGTGGTGCCTGGAACGTGGGTGAAGCGTTGCCAGCCCCTGGCCTGCAGAAGCTCATGTCCTCTCAGGGCGGACCCTGAATGGGCACAGGGGGATACGCCAGTGAATACCATCTCTACGCCAACAGTAAGCAGCTGCTTTGTTAGCAAGAGGATTAGAAAAGCAGAAAAAATATTATGATTCTATACTGTGGTTCTTCTCTTCTATAATCATCAAGCCCAATTATTATTAACAAATCTCTCTCTTCACTCTAATATATGTTTAATAGCTTGTTGCTCAGGACCCAGACACTGAATTGAAATCATGTTCTCCGTTCACTAATGCCCCCAAAGATTGCAGAAGGAATATGAACAATTAGCAAGACGAGGAGTTTGGGTTCTATCTCTGAGAGGGAGAAGTAATGACACCCCAGATGATTTATTTTACCGTATTCATGCAATCACAAATGCCTAGTGAATGCTGGTTTCACATTGAGGCTGCTAGCATAATGCATCAGGCATGAAATGCACGAACATTTCTTTAGAGCTGCTTAGCTGAAGTTTATCACGATCATTCAGCCATTGCCTAGCAACTTGGGAAGGCTATCAAAGAACTCTTTGTCCTCAGTCCTGGCAAAAACAGTCCCTCACAGATCGCCTTATCAGCGTTAGAACGTTTATCAGAAAAAAATGCTTCCATTGAACCAGAGATCCCCTCAAATTTAAAGATACCCCCTTCCCATTTTGTCCCCTCTTCCAAATGTGTTAGGGAGTTGCTTCCTGAAGTAATTCCTTAGAACCTTTATCTGTTCTTTGGTAAACATTCCAAAAGAATTTCTTCAAGATGCCTCCATAATTCTTCTATTGCTTTATAATCTGGGCTAGCATTAAAAAACACAGACCTGAGCTCATGAAGGTATATCTTCTCCAAAATCTGTAAGGCAGACATTTCTACCCCCTTAGATGGTAAGGGTCACCATTTTAGGCACACAAAATAGAAATATGCTGGGTTCCCTGGTTTGCATGTGCTTCTCGTCACTTCTTTCAGGAAAGAGAGAATTATATGGTTGCTCCATCCAGTTGGAAAATGGTCCTGAATATCGTGTTGGAAATAGAGACTGTGCTTATTGATGCATTCAACAAATCTTTAACACCCTCCATGTGCTAGGCACTGTAGTGAGCAAAACCCCCATCTCTCTTTCAGGGAGCTGACAGAATTCATTCATTACCCTGCGTGGAATGTGGGGGGGCGGGGAGCAGGTATAGATTTTTCATGTCCATTCTCTCTTGCATTACTCTGGAATTTATCCTCTTTGCATTCCAACTGCCAACGACTTAGTTTAAGACTGTCATGTTTATCTTTTTTTTTTTTTTTTTTACCTGCATAACCTACAATAGCCACCCACACAGGTCTCTCTTCCAGGCTCATCCTCCTCATACTGGCTTCTGCCCTCCTGCCAACCACAAATTTAATTATGTGCTTCTCCTACTTAATTGTCCATTTGGTCCCTGTCACCCCCAAGGGGGAAGCTCACACTCCACAGCATGGCGTTCTTGGCTTCCTTTACATACCACGACCTGGCTGCCCAAAGACCTGTCCTGTTCTTCCCAACCCCAGTTTTAGCTGTCCTCAACTTGCCTGTACTTCTTTGGACATCTGAGTCTCACACCCACCATTCCATTAGCTTGGAACCCTTGTCCACCTTCACAAGCTATTTCCTGTTCTGACTCTGATCCCCAGACAGAGTTAGGGGTGCTTATTCCTGGACCATTATCATTCTACAGTTAGAGGTCTTTCTTAGAGAACCTATCACCAGTAAGCCAGTAGCCGCTGGACTTCTTGAATGTTGATTAAGTTGAATTCTTTTTTCTGTCTTTGATTAAAAAAGGAAACAGCAAAATGTCTTGTAGGACTCCAGCCGAGTTTGCAAAGATTGGGGTGAAATCAGTGGAAATAATTTAAGAATAACACGCACACTAAAAAAAAATGGTTAAAGCAAACTTACAATGCCCTATCCTGAAAAAAATTGTTCTGCAGGGTTAGCCTTACACAGAGGTCACATCAGTAACCATATACCTAGTGTAACCTAGAGAAGCGATTATCCAGTTACCCACTCTGTGACCCTCACTGCCTGGTATTTCACAATTAGAGATTTATTTCTTAGGCTCCTCACATGCTTATTTCCTTAAAATATAAGTATTCTCTGGAGAAGGTAACAACTCAATAATAATCAATTTATCTCATCTCTTCTTGACTCTAAGAGGAAGGGAAAGATAACAGCTCCCCCCACAGAGCTCTGAAGGGGAGGAGTAGCAATAGGAGAAAATGGGACAGCAAGAGGAAAAAATGCAGCTTCATACTTTATGTTTGTCTACAAATAGATTAAGCATTAATATCTGAAAAATGATGACTCATTTTAACTGATGGTAGAGAAAAAGAAGAGGGATTGAATTTTTAGGGGAAGTTGGTAATAGAATTATTATAATTTACTCTTTAAGGAAAGACTTATTTGCAATCCTGAAATAAAAGATTTTTAAAAGTAAGCTTGGTTCAGCTGAAATATGCTTATACGATTGGAGACAGAAGATTTGATAGATGATCTCTAGAATTCCTTGTGATTCTCTGGAAATGAAATCATGGGTAAATCATGTGAAACAAGCATATCATTGTAATGGATCTCTTTGCTGTATCATGGGCCCTGTTACTCTATGAAAATTACCTCGATAAAGTTGATTATGACAGATGGTTATGTTATCCAGCTGGACAAACCTATTAGGGAAGACGAGTCAGATATGAAATAAAGGATCACTTTATTCAGATTTGCCAATCTGCCCTGGAGTCATTTTTCTTAACATGCTCTGATTGAGAATGTGCTAAGTCATATATAAATGATGATAATCTATAATGTAAAAAAGCAGCAGATAATTTTGACCTAAAGTGTGCTCCATTCCAACTTCACTGCATTTATTTAATGTGAAGGAGAGATTTGGCAAGAAGCTAATAACCAAATCACCATGAATGGCTAAATCTCCCCTTCCTCAAGCTCCCACCCCACAAAAATGTGCCAAAAATGAGGACTAATTTTCAGGATGATTTTCAGATTAACTCAGCTTCCACGTCTCCAAAATCCTAACTGGGATTTGCATGAATGGCTCCAAACCCAAATGGCCAGGGTTGTCTGAGTATCTGTGAAGCGGGTGTCCCCATCTTAGCTGCCATTAACTAGGAGTCCTGGCTCGTGGTCAGAGCTCAGGACCTGAATTTGAACAGAGTGAAGCCTGTCACAAGTTACCCTTGTTGATACTTCCTTCAGATTCACAAAACAAAATTTAGGTTTGCAGCCTCCTTTTGAAGCGGTTTATTCCTCAGTATGTTGGATGCTCTGCCTTGTATAGGTACCAGCCAAAACACCAGATACAACTCTATAGCTGGTGGATCACATTTGGTGAGCATAACATTTGAATGCCATTCCACTTACCTTTTCAAAAGAGGGTTTAAAAAAAAAAAAGATCATATGTTTGTGAACTCAAGAAAAAAAAAATCACAGTAGGCCATAATTCTGTATTTTATTCTGTAGGGAATCCTTAAACCCAGGTCAATTTATAACAGGTCTGATCTCCTCCTTCTGCCAGTAGCGCAAGCTCAAATAATCGTCTATTGTTGGCTCAAGCTAGACACAATGAGGTCTGTGCGCTTTCATGCCTACTTAACAGCCTTTACCAAGTGGGAGACTTTCGGGAGGAGAAAACCGGGAACGGTCAAAAGCAGAGTTACGGCTCAGCAGAAATGACACTGGACCAATCAGCCATGTTCACATTATGGTTTGGGGCTGCTCCTGTTTTAAGGTTTGGGCCATAGAAGCAAAAACTGTAATACAAAACATGCCTTTCTCAGCTTCCTTGGTGCTGGGTGGTGACAGCGTTCTGGAATCCCTGAGTGTGTGCGTGCTTGTTCTTCCTGTGTTTTCCCTTGGTCTGAAGCCAGCCGTCGCCGGTTCACTACCAATTACAACTCATTGCTTCTCAATGCAGAGAGCACGTCTTTGAGTTGTGGAGAATTCTGACTTACAAGAAAGAGGTGCCTGTTGTATTTCAAAAGCAAACTTACCAAAGAGACTTCTGTTGACCTCAAAAAAAAACCTGGTTTTATTTTTATTTTTGCGACTTTCTTTTTTCCCTTGTGTTTTCTTTAGGCATTTGTTCATTCACGACCAGCTCTAGAGTTTCTGTTCCCGGGGTGAGCGTTAAAAACCTACATATAGTATCCTAATAATCAATAACTTAGACAACAGCTATAAATAACATCAGTTGTGATATTCTGCCTTTATCTGCCCCGTGTCAGATGAAATTTTTAAAGAGGAATTTACTGGCACCAAGGAGTGTATCTTCCCATGCTATACAATGTATCATCAAAATGTTTTAAGGTGGTGTCTGCTCCAGGGCGAAGGTTGTCTTTATGTAAAACAATTTAACCACTTTTTACTCCTCTTTATCTTTTTACGCTTTGTTCATGTCTCTGTAAAGATAAAGGATGTTGGGGGGGGGAGAAGGAAATTGCTGAGGGCTCAATGATAAAATATTTTTTGATAAATTTTGCCTTTAATAGAAAGAGGCTTTGGGCTTCCCATTTGCTCCCTCCATCTAAAAAAAGGAAAATCAGTATAACAAAGGTGTTTTATTCCTGCTCTTTTATGACTCCATAGAAAACCATCCTGGGATTATTTTAATGTTATAGTGACACAATACATGATTACACCACATATGATGATGTACTGACGTCTGTAAGTGAATTTTAAACCTTACGCCATCTCCGCTCACTGTTGCCTGGGATCACTCAGCTTGGGGACCATGACCGTGGTCCTCGTCTGGGACTTCGCATCCCAGAGGCACTGCCTCTCACTCAGCCTTGCTCGTGTGCATTGTTTCAGGCGTCCACTGTGACAGCGTGTGTGCTGAGGGGCGCTGGGGCCCCAACTGCTCTCTGCCCTGCTACTGTAAAAACGGGGCTTCGTGCTCCCCGGACGACGGCATCTGTGAGTGTGCGCCAGGGTTCCGAGGCACCACTTGTCAGAGAAGTAAGTATCTCATGAGGGGCAGATGTCTGCCTTCCCTTCTCAGGCACCGTCCACCCCTCAGTGCATGGTGCTGTTCTGTTGCAGTCGAGGGCAGAGGATACTAGGTCTCCCTGTCCCTTGCGGAGCTGTCCTGGATAGCACTGCCCCAAGAGCTTTATTCGTTCCAACCTGCAGGACGAGCCTAACAGATGGGGCTTTAGCCGTTCCTTCTCAGGAATGATTTCGATGCCTCCCTGGCATCATCGTCAGGATATGTCTCTTGATCCTGCCTTAAGTCTTACAAATGGTGTTCCAGAAATCCATTGACCTGTGAATATTTGATTCAGCAGTTTTGGCATTGGCCTTACCTCAATTACCAGAAGTCAACATCAGCCAAACCTTGCGGCAAATCATACATCCTGCTAGTAGTCTTCCAGCCGGTGCTGTGGGGAAAATAGCACTGTGGAGGTAAAAATGGGGGCTGGTGACATGGGTCAATAGGACTTTGAAGTTAGGAAGGGATCCAGAAGATTTTACTAAATTTTTCAGTAAATGTAATCAAGAAAAGAGTACATGACTATAAGATATCTTATCCTAATTTTTAAATGACTTTTTTTTTTCATTAAAAGCCCTATGCATTCATCTTGTATTTAAATCTGAGGAACGGCTTGAGAAGGACCTAATTATGTAGGCTTTGTTGCTTGCTCCCCTTTCAATCACCATGATTTATCTGGACCACGTTGAGGAGGAACAATCCTTTAAATGCAGACCGGAGATGTATTTATAGCCAGTAATGACTCTTAAAGAATAAAGGATCGATACATGGCTTGAGAGTTATTTATTTGGGGTTTTAGAATTGTATTTCCTTTCGTTTGTTTCTTCAACAAAAACTCTTCAAGCCCCCGTTCTGTGTCATGCCTCAAGTTAACTAGGACCATAACTGAGAAAATTGAGAGGACTGAGACATTTGCCTGCCCTCAAGCAATCCCATCTAGTGGTTTCTTTTCATTATTAAAGGGTATCCTTCTTCCTTCCATGGTGGTGGTTTTATACTTGGAAAATTCTCAATATTGTTAAAAAAAATTTTTTTTTTTTTTTTTTTTTGCCCCAAACTGGAACTAGATGCTGATGTGGAATTTGAGAGGCACATATCCCAGGAACGATAACTGTTGATTTCCATTCTATTTTCAGTCTGCTCCCCTGGTTTCTATGGGCATCGCTGCAGCCAGACGTGCCCACAATGTGTGCATAGCAGTGGGCCCTGCCACCACATCACGGGCCTGTGTGACTGCCTACCTGGCTTCACAGGTGCCCTCTGCAATGAAGGTGAGGCATGCAAGTATTTTGGAGAGATGTGCAGTGATGGGCGAACCGCACGCAGTCTGTCCTTGGGCTTCCCCGGGGACACATTTTCCGCTCTCAGTTCTCGGGGCCTGCTGGTGCACGGTGTCTTCAAGTTCTGCAAATATGACTAGGAGCTCCCGAAAAGCTAGCTTGCTGCTCCGGCAGAATCTCTTCATTCGGTATTAATTGGAAACAGCCTCCCATGAAAAATCCGTAGAGGGAAGAAGGGTTTTGACTCCCTGAAGCGAGCGGCCATGAGGTCAGATTTCTAGAAATGTGATGATGTCTCCTGGTTTGGGATGCCTTCATGAGAATCTTCGGCTTCATGTATCTGCAAAAATGAGCCCACTCAAGATGAGGGATGCTGTTGAGTGGAGACAGTCAGTGAACGGGCTGCTGGGAGGACGGCTTTCAAAGTCGTTTCCTGCCCCAGGACTAGAGTTCCATGAGCTGAGATGTAATTGTGCATTACTGACCGATATAACTTATTCACAGTGTGTCCCAGTGGCAGATTTGGGAAAAACTGCGCAGGAGTTTGTACCTGTACCAACAATGGAACCTGTAACCCCATTGACCGATCTTGTCAGTGTTACCCAGGTTGGATCGGCAGTGACTGCTCTCAACGTGAGTCTTGTTTGAGAACAACTGTGTACCTTTGTTTGTTTTCACATTCCTTAGGATGGAAGTATGAGTGTTTCTGTAATCAGGAAATAATATATGAATAATTATAATATACATTATTTTAATTTTAAGCGGCTTTTTTCCCCATTAAGAACTCTATGCAATGTTCCTATGTTAAATCCAAGTATGTCTTAGGAAGAACCTAGATAGGTAGCATTTTGCTTATTCACTTTTCAGGGCTTCTTTGTCTGTAAAATGAGGGTATTGTATAAGGAAAGTCCATTCTCAGTTTTATTTCAGACTTCAAGTGTCAGCTATTAATTTTCCCTTGTTGGGCAAAAATGGTGCACACACTCATGGGAGAATTTTTTTTTTCCATTTTTTAAAATTCCTTCAGATGTATTATCTTTATGGGGCCATATTCCCTACTGGGTAACCAAATAGAAATTCTAGATGGTCCTCCTTTTTTTTCCCTCTGGTTTTATTGAGAAGTAATTGACATACATTACTATATAAACTTAAGGCGTACAGCATGATGATTTGATGTGGATATATCATGAAATGATCACCACAGTAGGTTCAGCTAACATCTGTTGTCTTGTGTAGATCCAATGGTGGTCCTCATTTAAAGCAATTATATTCTTAAAGCATTGGTATAAATAAAAAGGTGTTTTATGGGGGTTTTTTTTGTTTGTTTGTTTGCTTTTGGTAAATCAGATCATTTTACGCCAAAATGTTACACAATTTCACAGACACTTTATCTGAAGTTACTGCTCTTCACTGGGCAGTGACCCCCAACGATTCTGTTTTCTTATTTTCTGCATCATCCAATTAAGAGTTTTTATGAGTAAACCGATTCTTACATATAATTGAACCCTTAAAATTTAAACAAGCCTCTAGTGACAACTCTGGGGTAGAGCATGACTTTATGTGACCCTGGGTCCCCTAGTTTCTCTTGAGTCCCATCATTAGCCCATCTGATCTCTGCTTAAATGTCCTCTCTTCAGAGAAACCTTCCCTGAAGGATTAGCTCTGGTCATTCTTCCCCCATTACCCTGTTTTATTTTTTCTCATAGTACTTGTTGCCACTGTGTTCTCTGTTGACTGGCTGGCTGGTTGGTTGGCTGGTTTGCCTGCCTGCCTCCCCTACTAAAATATAAGGTTTCAGAGGGTGGTCTGGACCTTGTCTTGTCCTGCTATCCCTTCTGTGTCTAGAATGGTGCTGGGCACAAAGGAGCTCAATGTGCAGTGTTAAGGAACTAGATCGATACGCTTGAGATGATTGTTGCTCTGAGCACCTTACTCTGCAGTCTGTCGATGAGTACAATGTAATGATGGTTGCTCTTGCAGTCAGCCTTGCCATCTGGGGATCAGATTCGGAGCCCCGTGCTTTCTTAGTCCTGAGACACACTGCTAACCTCTCGCATGCTAGGAGATGCGGCAGGAGGACGGAGCTCTCTCTGCTGGGTGCTGACCTCCGGGCTCTAACAGAACTCTCCATGCGTGCTGTGATTTCAGCTTGTCCACCTGCGCACTGGGGCCCGAACTGCATCCACACATGCAACTGCCACAACGGAGCTTTCTGCAGCGCCTACGACGGGGAATGTAAATGCACTCCTGGCTGGACGGGGCTCTACTGCACTCAGAGTAAGCGACCAGCCTTCTGAGGCTCACCAAGGGGAGCCACCGCCCAGGAGGTTGCAGCCTCGCCCTTTGCATGCCCGAGCGGAGCTCAGCCAGGACTCCTGGCACTGGAGCCTTCCCTCTCCCTGATGACCGCTAGACGTTTAAATGTCTCTGTTTGGTTACGAGCTGTCACGTCCCAAGTTTTCTGTCAGTATGTCCTATCAGGACACTGAGGTGGAGCAGGGCTAGATGCGATGCTGTGCGGCTTCTCTCCTAACTCTTTTTTAACCAGACCCTGTTTATATGCACCCAGCTCCCTATCATTTATATATACATGTTTATGTGTGTGCATATATATGTATATGTATATACACAAACATACACTGTTTTTAGTATGTGATTCCTTTTATATGAAGATCAAAAACAAATCGATCTGTTAAGATTATTGATTGGGAAGGAGCATGGAGAGTGATGAAAATGTTCTATATATTTTTTCAAATTGGGGTGGTGTTTACGTGGATGTACACCCTGTCATTTATTCTAATAACACAAAGGTTGGGGTAAGAGGCAGTGACTAGAAGGCAGTGAAGATGACAAGCCTCACTCCCTAACATAATGCGTGCTCTTGGAGAAGAGTGCATTCTGTGGTTCTCAAACTTGAGCGAGCTTCGGGATCACCAGGTGGCTCGATACACACAGACTGCTGGCCCCACTCCCAGAGTGATTCACTGGGGCTGGGGTGGAACCTGAGATTTCACATTTCTGACAACTTTCCACAGCTGATGCCAGGCTGGGATCATGCCCTAAGAACCACTAGTTCTCTTTTCCATTTTATTTCCCATAATGTCCTAATCGTTTCTTCTTCTGTGAGGTTTTTACCATCATAGCATATAATGTGCAAAGTACTCCACAGCTCAGCACTGTTGGGGGGGGGAGGGAAAGACTCTTCTCTGTCCTCTTGTCTTCAAATGAATAAGGGAGACAAGACAGGAAAGCACAAATTATGGTTATTATTAATGAAAATTTATAATTTATTCTTTAAAAAAATTTTTAATAATAACATAATTGTAAGTCACAGAAATGAGCTGAGAAGGAAAGATGGGTCAGGAATTAGACAATTCTTGTTGAATACTAATTAGAGAACATAATTAGAGAAGAGGTTGTACAAGAATTTTGGAACTTTCTGGAAGGGGGTGTAGACCTTGAACCATGATTCGAAAGGGAGAGTTGGCTGAGAGCTTGTGTCGAGCATATTCTGCCAAGATTGTACATGCAGAAAGGTTTTCGAGCTCATTAGAGAAAAGTGCTTATAAGTTATTATTTATCATCCCAAAATTCGGGTCTACCTCAATCAGAGGACCTTTTTAAGTGGACGTAGCAGAAGACGGTGGGAAGAGCGTGGGGTCTGGAGCCAGACTTGCCTGCATTTTTATCATGGCCAGGCTGCCACTTGCTGGCTCTGTGACTGAGGGGGCCCTCAGGGCTTAGTTCCCGTCTACAGGTAGGACTACCGTACAGATTCAGTAAGAGGACGCATGGAAAGCACCTGGCACAGAGTGGGTGCTGGATAAAAACATGGCGATGGTAATGTCCACGCATGCTGACCTCTGTGCTGTGCCTCTATTTCTTGAGAGTTGAACTTTCATTAAAAGGTCTCCAAGAAAAAGGGAAAGTAAAAATCCCATGTGATACTTAGAGATGGCCCTACACGCAGGCCGTACTGAAGCTTGCATTATGCCAGGGAGCCCTGAACACCCTTGCTGGGCAACTGCTGGTCCATGACAGCTCACAGGCCTCGTGCACGTCCTCAGCCCAAAGGCCCCAGAGGTCTGTCTGGGTTTTGGAAATCATGCAGCGGTGTAAGGTTTATTGCTTTTTTACAAAGCACCTGTGAAGTGCAGGGGTTTTTTTGTTTTTTGTTTTGTAAGTTTAGCATCCTACTACACACCTTTGGTGAAGGAGCCAATATTATCTAAGTTAGCGACAGATGCAGGGGACGGAGCTATAGTGGACTTAAAGACACTGTCCTATAGTAAAAGCGTACGCATGATTTTAATATAAAGCGCTCATTTCGGTCCACGGCACTTGAGTCCTGGAGTCTAGTAGTTGAGTCAAAGAATACAAGGAGACGCCCTGATACTTCCGTGGGGTCGAAGGCATGCCTTGCTAGAAGATACTCGTCTTGTCTCCGGGAGCACCTGCAAGGGTTAAACTGTCAGGTGTAGAACTGTTCTGCTTCCCGCTCATGAATTATGACCTCCTTGCAGGAGCCCCATCCTGGGACTTCACAGAAGCCTTTGTGACAAGCTGAGATCTGCGTTATTGTCTTTATTCACTCTCCAGTGGCTCAGCGTCCTTCAGGTTGAAACACAAACAGTTGGAAGCAAGAGCTTTTCTCTTGTTTCCTCAGCAGCCTCCTGACTTTGATGTCCTTCCCTCTCCAACACAGGATGTCCTCTGGGGTTTTATGGAAAGGACTGTGCGTTGATATGTCAGTGTCAAAATGGAGCTGACTGTGACCACATCTCGGGACAGTGCACCTGCCGCACCGGCTTCATGGGGAAGCACTGCGAGCAGAGTGAGTATGTGGGCATGACACGTCTAGGTGGTATTTTCCCCTAGAACCCATTTTCCTACACGCCTGGAAAATATGAAGGCAGGACCTGCAACTTTTAAGTTGTTTGAGCTGATGGCCGGTCACTTCCCGGCACAGCTGACCCATTCCCTTCCCAGAGACCTGGCCACCTGGGGGTCCTTGCTGACTGTCTTTTCCCTCAAACTTCTTCTGGGTAAGTAATCAGCACTCTGGGTGGAGGGGGTGTGGCTCCAAGGATGAAGACAGAATTCAAGTTTTCCATCTGGTCACCCTGGCTCTCTCTGACTCTCCTGCTTATTTTTGGAACGGGGCTGCTCAGAGCTTTACGAGCCAGTCAGATTTTCTTCGTGGCAGAGACAGAGCCTGGAGTGCACCCTGGATGAAAGTGCGTTGTCTGGGGCCAGGCTGAGTGCATGGGGGTGGGGGCATGTGGGCTCCCAGCCCCACTGTGGGTGTAGAACCAGGTCCATGCAAACGTTGCCCCCCTTCTGACAACTTTCTCTAGATAGTACTTTTATACCGTTTCCCCTAGCAACTTCACATTTTAATCTTCACAACTTTCAAGACGATATATTGCCTAAAAAATTTTTGTTGTAAGAATTGCACTCCTGAAGAATATGCTCTGTTGCAGTTACGCATCCTTGTCTTGCCATTTTTGCCCCTACAGCTATGCATCTGTAGGGTTATAAGAAAAGTAGTGTTAGACTGAGTATTTCAAAGTAGTCTATTGTTCCTTTCCTCTGTGACTTTCATTCAATATTCGGAATGAATAGATAGGGTCTTAGGGCTGTATGGGGCTCAGCCTCTTATCATAGATGGCAGGAAAGGGGCAGGACCTTTCTTGCTTATCAGAGGGGGCGCTCCTGGGAAGGATGCAGCAAAGATTATATGGCTGTAGGAGCAATGTAGCCTGGAAAGGTGAATCAGGATAACAGGACTTTGGCAGTAAACGATCACCCTCTCTCCACCCCAGCAGCACCTCACAGCACCCCTAGACAGCTAGGTTGTCTTGGTCTTGTGTGCTGAACTCTTGAAATATTTTTGCATATTTTCCTATCTAGCACACAACAGGACTGACCTCCAGGAATCAGCCTGGACAGAGATGACCCAATTTGAGTTTTGCACTGGTATTCATTTCATCCTGAAACCCATACTGAGTCATACAGTTGCCTGCACACCCCTTGTGTATGGGAATATTTTGCATCTGTGTGTATAAATGTCTAAACATACGTTCACATACGTATATGCATAGAAACCAGAACAAACTCTAAACTGACTTTCCCTTGGAAGCCCAGACCAGTTATGGTCTTATTAAATAAAAGCTGCTTAAGTCCTTCCGTGATTACTTTGAACATCAAATCAAAATGTTCCTATTTTTGGAGACCCCTCCTGATGCTCATTTGTAAACAGAAACACTGGGTTTGACAGAGAACTCCAATAACAATAGCACATTGCCCCCTGCTGCCCACTTTGCAGAAAACATCAGTATTTGGGGATGATGTTTAGATTTGACATGCCTATGCTCTTCTTTGAAACCCACACCCAGCTCTTATTAAGAGTGCCTCATAAAAATCTCTCCATTTGAGTCTCTCCGGCTTCAACCTGCTCATCCCAATTTTGAGCCATTCTATGGTAAAAGAAGTTCTCACCTAGAACATTACCAAAACTTGCCCCTCCCTTGTCCCCTGCTCCCAACTAATCCAAGTCAGAATGTGCCGATAGGAGGATCACTGAGCCTTCAGTACAATGCTCATGTTCTCAAGGATGCGGCTCTGGTTTATAGTCTTCAGCCTTCTGTCCCACCGTTTTGCCCAGTGGGGTCATCTCAGATTGCCCTTGCCGATGATCTTCATCCGTCCCACTGGGTTCTACAGACTCCCTACTTACCCCTCGGAAGTGGGTGCATAAAAGCTGAAGGAGTCAGGAGCTGTGGCCAGGAGCTCAGTCTCTGGCCCTGTGCATGGGAGGCCCCCCCCCCCCACGAGTCGGGGAATTCTTGCCAGCTCTAGGACTCCCTGAGTGCTTCCGCCTGCACAAGGATGCCCTGGAAGGCCTGCCCTCTAGATACACGGGGTCAAATAGTAAGAGACGGCCTTGCCCAGCTGCCCCAGGCTGGCGAGCTTACATTGGACTTTCATCTCCTTCTCAGAGTGCCCTGCAGGAACGTATGGCTACGGCTGTCGCCAGATATGTGACTGTCTGAACAACTCTACCTGTGACCACATCACCGGCACCTGTTACTGCAGCCCAGGCTGGAAGGGGGCACGATGCGATCAAGGTAAGGACACGAGTGCCTCGCACTGCATAACCACCACGTACCAGCCAACGTCAAGTATTTGCTCCTACAGTATCTGATGTAACACCCCTCAGGACACTGCAAGGCACAGCTGGTTATTTAGTTGCCAGAAGGATGCCTTCTCATTGCTGCCCTTCGGGTGAGGAAATGAAAGCTCAGAGAGGCTGAGTGATTTGCCCAAGGTTGCACAGCTAATATGGAGTACATAGCTGTATGTAGGTCAGGGCTTAGATGCCAGGTTTTTCTGATTCCAAAGCTCATGAGCTTTCTGCTGTGCCTACGCATGTTTTCACCTTTATGGAGGTATAACTAACCTATAAAAAGCAACACGTGTAGGCTAGTATACTACAGATAGATAGATAGATAGATAGATAGATAGATAGATAGATGATAGATAGATAGATGATAGATAGATAGATAGATAGATAGATAGATGATAGATAGATAGATAGATAGACACACGATAGATAGATAGATAGATAGATAGATAGATAGATAGATAGA